ATTTTTATACAAACATATATATCATTCTGTAAGTAACAAAGGGGTGTTCTGACATTTATAAATATGAAACTGATGCCAAAGTACCTTCAATGGCCTGGAGAATTATTGGATCAAGATTGGTCTGTGTTTTATCTTTTGTCACAATGAACAGGTCCTTACTACTGTAAAACAAGCCAAGCAGGAATCGGGCTGCAGGGGTACCGTCTGTTTTACCGGTTTTCTCCGAGATTTTGACTTTGTTCATGGCATGTACATAGTCAGGTCCACTGACATAAACTGGGATGGAATGCACCAGCTGCACCAACTGAAAACAGAAATTCCTGAAGTTAGAAATAGGCCAAACATAAACCTCCTCAAAATCAGCAATGTTTGTTTTTAACATCTAATCTTATCTCATTGAAAACTGTCAAATCACAGACTGCTGTAATTCATTTCAGTGAAATCTGACCCTTATTTTCATTCTCATTTGAGCATTAAAATTTATTGTCATATCAGGGAGAAATAGTTCTGAAGTACAACTACTGTTTAGATGTTTCATTTGTTATGAACTGGAAGTCAGAAAAAAATATGTAACAACACATACCCCAAGTCTGTTTGCCTCCTCTTCTTGATAGACACCTGCTTTATTTGTGGCCTCACGCCTATTGATTGCAGCTTGATAAAAATAGAAGATATTTATTTTAGAAAATTGTATTTATTAATTTAAAAATGCATATGTTAAGTATATTACTTAATAATACTTACATTTTTTCCTCTTTCCTGGTTTCTTCTCAAAAATATAAAGTCAACGGCAGTATCACTTAGTTTTTTTCCATGCAGGCTTTATTATACATATTTTCCCCTGCATATTGAGCTTAACTCATTGTGTTCAGTTTGTGTTTGTTATGCATGTATTCTACTGTGATCAAAACAAATTTTCATGTTAGCTTTTTTACAATAGATAAAAAAGTCTTATGTCCTCTATTTCCAACACACATATTTCTGCAATACTTGGTAAAATATGGTCCATTAGCTACCTTTTGATGTACTTTAAGCTTATTTCATGTATAGCTGTAAAGTCAATGATCAGTATCATTAACTCTTAGTAATTTTTGAATAGAATTCAAAAAAGGATGCTTATTCCAGTGCATTTCAAACAAACTACAGTTCTTTGTCAGTATTTTCCCTTCATCACAGCTGTAGGCATTGTCCAAAGCTGGAACTGACACAAAGGAATGGGACATTTGGTTCAACTTCCTTTATTTTTGAGGGGAGGGGGATTCAAAATTGAGATGATATACAGGTGTGTCTACAATGCTCCTAACCTTCTTTGGGGAGGAGGTTTCACACCATTGATTTGAAATGCAAACATTAATCAGCTGTCAAAGATGGATCCTTCCTTAAATGACACATGCCTCCCAGAGTTGAATATCCTTGTTCATTTACTCAATTTTCCACATTTTGGTTAACATTCTTCCACAATGTCCATAAAGTGTTACAGATTAAATGGCAACAAAAGTAGGGTAACACATAACAAAATGACCTACCTCTGATATGGCTGCAAGTCTTCTTTCTTCTTTTCCAGTCGTCGTTAAATAAATTCACGATATCAATTTTTAAAATCTTTGGCAGATGCCATCTAAGCATCAAGTATGTTTTCTTTTAAGTGTGATTCATGTTTGAATTTTTGTTGCTCTTCGATAGATAACTCTTTCAAGACTTGCAACCATATCCAATGCTATTCCCAGATACTATTACGATTTGTTTACACTTGAACCATTTGATTCTACTAAGAAATAAATCAGGCATGGCACATTTTTTTTAAAATTTCTGGCCATTTTAAATATGTAGTTGGCTTCCCTGATTGGCGTTAAGTAATTTATTATCATTTTACATATGACTTTAACTGTGTAATATTTAAATTGAAAATGATCGTCTGAACTGTTGAGCAATATCAAAAGTGACTTATTTAAAAAAAAAACAACAAAAAACAACTAGTATCAATATTGCCCCCATTGCAAATGACTGATCTCTAAAATTTCCAAGAGTATTAGACTTGCCATGTAGCCAATGACTGGTGTTCACTAGAGGAAAAGAAACTATCCAAGAGACTCTAAACCATTCAATGTCCACAGAAAAAAAAATCCCACAAATTTACTGAAATACTTTCCATGTTAGATAACACGTGGACTCCTCAAAGCAACAAAAATAACTTAGAGTATTTGTCTTTCCTATACAAAGAACCAAAACTCCTAATCCAACAAAGAAATGTAACTCCTATCAAAAGACTTAAAATTCTAACCAGAAATTATCAACCTACCAACAAAAGAAAACAAAACTTAAAAGAAAACCAAAGCAAACACAGACTGGGAAGAGCAATGGATGGTGAATAAATTTGAGAATACATCAAAAAAATGTAAACATCTTCATCTGGAGCTCTGTACTTCAAAGAGCTCCAAGCTCCTTTAAATTTGAAATCCCCATAAATGAAATGCTTATGCAATAAAACTCATCATTTCATCAATCACTTTCAGCCTTTCAATGAAAGTGACATACTTTTAATAAAAAAAGAGGAAAAGAAAAGAAACTGTTACATCCTTGTGAAATAAATATTTTTGCAATTTATTTCATTTCTGGAATAAGCTAATAAATGTGCATGTGGATGAAGATGCTTACATATACAGAATTGTAACAGAGAACATTTTTGGGGAATCTTGAAAATATTTGTCATCTTGTCATACCTTATGGTATACTCTTATGTGTATAACAAAGCAAGGAATATTTCATTGAATTGAGACAACACAAATGAAATATACAGTCTAAAAACTGCACACAAGATTCTTGCTTGTGCCAAAGCTTATGATTAGAGAAGAGAAACAAGTTGTATGAGCAATTATTTTCAGATTCCCCTAACAATTTTAACAACAAATGTTGATCAAGATCAAACTTGCATTTTTCCCCTTGAGGCTGTTAAAATCTTGTTTCAGCTTTATCATGTCTGAATTCAATCTTGAAAATTCACAATAAAATTAATTCTGAGTGGGTTTCATTCAAGACAAAAGTTTGATCTTAATCCTCAAATAAGGAGTTTTAAAAATAAAATGCTCAACATATCTCATCTATAGTTTAATTACAATAAATGATTTTATGAATAAAATAAAAATAAAATTTGTGAGAGTTTGCATAATTGTATTTGTACTGCTCAAATTATTCCAGTAATCAGGTTTGCTTAAATTATTACATGTTGTATTCAATATGGACATTATGCCACTCTTATTTCAAACTTTTCGATGAAAAATAAAGCATAAATGACATCAAATTCTCACAAATTATGATTTTTAATAGATTGAGACATGTCTTAGCCAATTTTATGTTTTCAATAATACTCTGTCAAAGTTTTTTTTTCATCAAACATGTATCAGCAAAATTTTGGGGGCATAACATTTTTCCATTGTAAGAATTTGTTATAAATGATTTTTTTTCACTTGCAAAGATTGCATGTACTGCTCTGACAACTAAAAATTATCCCTGCCCATGTAATTACTTTTGTGAATATTTATGGCTTCAAGTTTTATTTATCTTTCATCTGTTAACAAGTAAAATTGATTTTTTAATTTTTGCTTTTTTTTTTTTTTAATTCTTTCAACTCTTTTTTCCTAAGTGTTCTCTTGACTGAAACATGAACACAGGTTAAACAATCCAAATTTGAACACTAAAAAAAATTGTAACTTATCCCCTGATTAACTAGCAGTACCAGTACAGTGATTCATTTTGATGTGCGTCCTGCGTAAATTACGCATAAATTTTGCTCAGGACGCATTATTTCAATAAATGTGCATCCCAATGGACGCATGCATTTAATTTGTAAAATGAAAGGTATTATTTTAAATTATTTTGGTATAATCTGCTTCAAAACTTCGCCGATTGCATCATATCCACATGCTAAGTGATATGCATGAGCGATTTTAACAGGTATACATAAGGTTGTCAACAACAGGTCAGATTTCACACTTCACTGTTAAACTGCAGTTAACAATGAGACAAGTGTCAGAAAAAGAAAGTTCAATTTTGTCTGCTGTGGAACATTTCTGAAGCATATACTATACCAGTTGTATACATTTGTATTTTAACTGTACACATGTAACCTGAATAATTTCAATTTCTTCCTTAGAAGCTATTAAGTATTTGATCATTCTTCTCTCAGGTTATTTTTTTTAAAGAAAACTTTCTTTATTTCATTTAATAGAACAACTGGTCTGCTTCTGTGCATTTTATGACAGAATTTTGTATAGGCCTACGAACTATATGTGACATCATATGTACGATCTAAAAATAGAACCAAGGTGCACAGTTGACAATATATTATTTATATGCCACAAAATCATTTATTCTTACTTCCAATTGATAGTAATTATAGTATAAACCACTCACAGCTTCAATAAAACAACTGCACTTTCGGACTAAACCCTTTTCTATTTCACCAGAATTTCCTCTGTAGTATCTAATGTACGGTACCATTAAGTACCCTTGGATTTGGACGCATTGGTTTTGGCATGGGACTCATTGTTGTCAGTAAAAGGGGTCCTTTGGACCCATGATAACCATTTTCAAAATGAATCACTGCCAGTATCTCACTCCTCTTTATTTTCTTATTATTCTTTTATTAACATTTTCTTATTAACCATGAACAATGACAGAGCATTATCTGAAGAATGCACAAAGGTCAGAGATCAATAGCCCCCCCCCCCCCCCCCCCAAAAAAAAGAGAGTATATTTTCTTTAATTTAACAATGAAGTGTTTCCATTTGTATGTTCCATAAAACTAATGAAATGAATTACTGGATGTGTCACTAAATAAAATTCCTTACAAATCATCCAAAATAACGACCTTTAAAATATGACGACCAAAACAGAAATTTTTGCTTCAAAAATATTATATAACAGATGAATGTTGATTTGCCTGAACTCTCAAAATGACCTTTGTGCATTCCAAATAAGTAACAAAGTTATGTGGTCCTTACCTTTCATCTGTCCTAAGTACCAGTTTGCACTGCTGTCCATCCCACTGACATTGCTGCTTTCATTAGACATATCCTCCCTCGGCCACTCTCCTGGGGGTTCTTCCACACTGTAATCTGGTCCTGGATCATCCTCTTCCCCTCTCACTGGCTGGTGACCATGACTACCAAATGACTCATCCCCCATATACATTTCTAGATTACTCATGTCTCGTTCTGTGGCAGTTTCTATTTTCACAATACTCAAATCTGGCTGGTCGTCTAGTTTATCTTGACTGAAATGACGGATTTGGAGATTAGCATTTTATAGCAATGCTATAACAAAAGGATTACTGTGTAATTTTCATTGTTTTTAAGGTATGGAGATACCCACAAATTTATGACCACCACTAAATGTAAAATTCCATATGCATTACTACTCAACACTTCTCCATCCATGAAATCAAATCCCTACAAACCAATTTTTTTTTTCTCAAACCTCTAAAATTTGACCCAACGAAAATGTGTGATTTTACATTAATTTACATTCTGACAATTCATTCACAGTCACTTTTTCAATCTATCAAGCACTTTACGATGATAAAAATTTTTTCTTGAAAAATCTGAAATACAGGCAATCATTATAAAATGTTTCAATTATGAGCAAAAATCAACTCCCGACATTACTTAACTTATATTATGTCAGAGTATAATTGTTGTTCAATGTTTGTAATTTATACCCACCCAGTGTCCACACTTCTCCCACTAGATGATGGCCTCTCACTACTTTCACTTCTCTCTCTGACTGTGCCCTGTGATTTTTGAGAGGCAGGAGAAGATATGGTTTCTGGGAATACTGGCATGGATACTGTTTGTGATGCACTACCACTGGCAAAGGGCTTGGGTGCTGGCTGCCTAGGAATCTGTGTCATGGCCACTGGGTACGGAGCTCTGTAGGATGCACCCAAATCCTCACTGGCTCGGGATCCTGTACTGGTGTTCAACACCTCACTGGTATACTGAGAATCTGAGTAGTCGGGTATGTGAATTTTTGCCTGAGTTTGTTTCTCTACTTCTTTCTTTTGCTGAACTTTCTCTTGGTGACCCATGCTACGACTGACTTCTACAGAAGATGTGGATGATGAGGGAGAGTCTTGAATGGCTACAGGACTGAAACTTATTGGGTCTCGACTTGACCCACCAGGTGGGGGAGCTGCCTGCAAAGATTTTCCTGCTCTCTCAGAGACAGGAGGACCTGCATCACCTACAACATTCACCACTCGCAAGTCAGAAGAATGGTTGTGTTGACTAGACACAGAAAGGGAAACACTTGTCTGTATTTTCACAGGTTCCTGAATGCCACTTGAGTCCTTTTTAGGAGGTTCTGTTTGCACCAATTCAAAGCCATCTTCTCTGATATCAATAACACCTGGACCTTGAAATCCTGATCCCAGTCTTGGAACTCTATCCCATGGATCTGAGGTAGCACCATAACTTTCTGCCATACTGCTTGTATCATGAATTTTAGGACTAGATGAATGCAATCTCTGTCGCTTCACTCCAGGACTTGTGGGTCTGTGTATTTCATTTGTGCGTTTAGCAGATCTCTCCTGCTTTTTAAACAGGTCAGAGACCCTCATGTGCTTAAAGTCTGTTTGATCCTGAAAGCTGTACTTGAACTGAGCCCCTGCTGATTTGTTGATACACTTGTTAAAATCTGCACAACACTTGGTGATACTATCCACCTGCAACAGTCGGGCTATTTTCTCCACTTCATTACAGTTTTCCTCAGTCAAAATCATATAACCCTCATAGAGATACTGTAGAAATGTGTTGACAGATTCCTGACTGATGTCGGATGCCAATCTCACCTCAAGGTGTGACCCAGAGGTTGCATTTTCCATGGTTTGTAGCATTGGGCAAGCTGCCACAAGCACCACTCTATGAGCCTAGAAAAGATATGCAAAGGCTCTAAGCATCTTCATACATTTGCGGGAAAAGTTAATTAAGGCCAAAGTTTTTTTTTCACTTGGTTTACGATTCCGCCGACCCTAATTTTCACAAATCATGAAAATAAAAATAATGTCTTTTTCCGACATATTTTTCCGGATTTTTCTCAGCTGAACTGGTGGGTTTTAATTTTAGAATGCATCTTAGTCAAATAAGCGCTTACAAATATATGAGACCTTTACAAACATTTAGGTGACCGTAAATAAACACATGTGCTAACCAAAAATGGTGGCTCTGTCATGTAACAAGGTAATTCCTCACTGAAAGCAATGACACACACTTAAAGAACTTTTTCTGCATGGAAAAGTGAATAAAATCTTGGATAAATGATCCCTTTCTCCAATTGCAATGTCTCAATTGGCTAAATTCATACCGTAATATTGGAGAGTGTATGCCCAACCCTGATCGACCTAGCAGACACGGATACACCTATAGATAATAAGGATTTATCAGTGCCTTCTCAGGGGCCGAAGTTCGGCCCATTCCCAATTGAAAATGAGTTCAGTTTTTCCCAATTTGGCAGTATTTTTTCTCAATTGGTGAACAATGCTTTTATTTTGAATTATCTTGGGAAAACACTAAGTAAAATTGTCAGATTGTCTGTAATTTTAACTCATTTAGCAAAGCTACAGTCTTAACAGATGTTTAAAAACACTGTAAAAACATCGCCAACTTTTAATCCGAATTTCCTCTGTTTTTCTAAAAATGATGATATTGTGTAATTATACAGATTTATTAAGTTATTTCCACCTACTCATTTGATCTGCGAGTTAATGGTAAGGACTTTAGGCATTATTTCAGTTATAGAAAAATATATTTTCAATGCATTAATACATATTAAAAGAGGACTTTTAGAAAATGCGTTCTTAGTATAATTTTTTGCAGGAGGTTTATAATCTCCAGAAACAGATACTATAATGATCTAAATTGAAATCTCATACACACATGTACATGTACTACCCAAGTTGTATAAATGCTTTATACTCATTGAAGTCCATTTTACTTTTATTAGTCTATTATTCATAATTGATTTTGTACGAATAAGATGGATCATATTTAATTGTCATTTGCAGGGGTGTGCAATTAGCATCGCCCGACGCCCGGGACTACCATTTTTGAGGGTCGGGCTAGTAGTTTCCTGCACGGAGGTAGCCCCTTGGGCTAGTAAAAATTAAAACTACCAATGTAAGACATGAAAATCACTATCGGTCTTTTCACTCATTTTTTGCTATTAAATTCCCAACCAATGAAAAATTTCCAGGGAGCATGCTCCTATTGTTCATAAATCTCAATAATCTTATCCATTTTGCAGTACTTCCTGACTTATTTACTTCCAAAAACGATCGTTTTTTTTTTTCTAATCCGAATTTCCTCTATTCCCCTGTTTATGGTAAATACTTGCAGATATCTCATTAAATTATTTACGATCACTCAATCAACTGAAAGATAAATGTTATGTGGTTTATATAAAATATATTTCCAGTGTATTTAATGATTTAAGATGAAAAAAAAAAGATTTTCACTTCATTTTATATGAACTAGTGCAATGCACAGAAAAAGGGAAGATAATTTATTTTAAATGCATTTTTATTTTCTATCTTAATTATTAATTTATACATGATTCAATTTTACTAGTGAGAATTGAACTTATTTCTTAAAAAGAATGACTTTAAAACCCTGACTTTTTCAACAATAAACTATTTTTTTCAATATATACCGCCCCCTTCCCACAATTGGGCTAGCAACTTTGTATTTGGGGCTAGTAACTTTATTGCTGTTACTAGCCCGTGGGCTAGTACTTATTTTTTTTAATTGCACACCCCTGATTTGGTTGCCCAAATTAGAGTTCATGCTGAAATGTTAAATGAATTACCCCTGAGTACATGATTTAAGCAACATTTTAAAAAAAATTTGCAATTTCATCAAACAGCCGATAATTTTTTCCCAATTCCCCAAAAATGGTGTTTCCCAAAATAGGCTGATAAATCCATGGATAATAGTTAGGCCAGTTTAGTGTTGAGAGATACATCTTAATAGTTGAAGCAACGTTGACTGGTATTTCACTGGAGAAATTCAAATGTGTATAAAACATTTGTTAGTTTATAGAAGTAAATTCGATATACAAATCTTTGCAAATTTCATACTCAATTGAGATTAAAGTCCTTTGAATTACTAATAAATAATGAGCATTACCTACTGTACAGGTACATAACAAACATTTAAAGAAGGACTTGATTGAGAAATTATTAGGCTTTTTTGCCGCAGGTTGAACATTAAATTTGATAGCTGCATGATCAAATTATTATAACCTTTATTTCAACGTCAATTACTTTTAATATTGTTAAACACTTCAATTGTATTTTTCTTCAATCTAAATTTAACTTGAATCTGGATCCTTATTTTTAGTTTGTGGGGATACCAAGGTTTATAACACATCACATATCACTGAAGAGCACAAAATGTTGAACATCATGAACCAAGCACTGATTGACAAACAAAAATCAGAACTATATGTAAATGAAAATAACATTCAGTCTAAAGTTAGAAATGAATTAAAATTAAATAAAAAGAGTTATGTGATCTAGACAATAAAACTTAAAAGTACTATTGACGTGTATTATTTATATTAAAATAAACATTTCTGTTATTTTATAATGAAATTGTTGAATCCAAAATTATTTTTATTTTTATTTTTCGACCACCCAATGCATTTTTTTGAGACAGAAAATCGTAAACCAAAAAAAATAAAAACTTTGGCCTAAAGTATGTTTTATTTGTATTATTCTAAAATATTTGATTTCAATTGATGAACTAGTTTTAACTGTAATGGAGACCACTACAGATGTTCCCCAAATGCTAACCCTACTCCCTTTTGGTGCCATGTTCCCTATAAGCTTCATTAAATTAGTCCAAATCTTTATATTATAGACTTTTGCAACTCATTTCTTGAAGTATTTTTGGGAAATAACAATGCACATATATACAAAAGAGCACAAGTTAATCAGTACACATGCATGCTCATAGTATGCCATATTAAAGAGCTACATTTTAGATTTCAAAGAATTTTACTGAGAACATAGAAAAGTTACAGCAATCTGAATTTTAATCAATCAGAATTCAACACAAATGCATGCATGTCTCGTAATAATTTCTGATGATTCCATAATGTAGGGACTTATATTATATAAATATATTCTGAATTTCAGCTTCTTTTCTCAAAAACTCTTTGTCGTCTTGTCTATAAACTAATAATATATCTATATATTCCAAGTTTTAAAGCATTTCATCAAAAAATATAAAGTTAATGCTATATTAAGTATATATGTAATTTCACACATTGCTTGTGCACTCAAGTGCATGCTTACGCAGAAAAAATGACATTTGTTCTGCAAATCTTCACAACATGTCCATTGACCCTAAAAAGGTTTCACCTCGGATGAGTAGTTTCGCAGACAAAAAAGTGCCCAGGAAGAAGATTACAGAATAATAATAAGAAACAGGGGCGAAATTAACGGGAAATACTCGCTAAATGTGAATTAAAAACAGAAATTGCGAGTTAAAAGCGACCTGTGGTCGCTAACTTTTGCGAGTAAAAAAAAAAACGGCCTTTTTTCGGATTTTTTTAAAGTTTATTCCAGGGATGTGCATTTAGCATTGCCTCACACCCGGGGCTACCATTTTTGGGGGGTCGGGCTAGTGATTTTATGCACAGAGGTAGCCCCTCGGGCTAGTAAAAATTAAAATTACCCATGTTACATGAAAAGCACTACAGGTATTTTTATTCACTTTTTCTGCTATCAAATTCTCAAACAATGAAAAATTTCCAGGTAGCATGCTCCTGTAGTTCGTAAATCTCCATAATCTTATCCATTTTGCAGTACAGTACAATTCGTTTTTTATCATACCGGTTTTATATCATACTTCTTTTTTTATCATAGATATCTGAAACACAAAACCATTTCTTAATAATTCATTATAAATTTTGTCTGTTATTATCATAGGTAAAAGTATACACTTCGCTTACTATAATAGAAAATGTCCGTCCGTAATATTTTTTCACACCTTTTCACTCTTGGGACAATCAACAAAACAAAAGATAACACCTATCTACACCTGTGGTTCATGCACTGTCGCTTGTCTATACACAATGGCTTGATTTTCACTTTGAAAATTGCCGATAGTGAAAGACTGGGGAGATTAGTCACACTTCAGTGCACTTACCTGAGCGATTGACAGGGAGTCTGTTTATTTCATGAAGTACATGACAGGATAACACGAACTCTTTTTTTTTTCATAACTTATTTTCTTCTTATGTTAATCCTGAATTGTACGTTCGTAATAAATACGTTTTACCAAATGTGTTGAAACTAAATTTAGTGTCAATATTAACCCAAGCTTTCTTACGCTTGGTGTCTGGATCAATGTTCATAGTTAATTACATTTACAAAACTGCCCGATTAATTAAGAAATAATTAAGTGAAATTAACTCTGTCACCAGTCTGTCCAAGCGGCTTTGAATGCATATGCTCATCAGTGTATCAATTAATTTTAATTATACGGCGACATTGAGTGTAAATAGGTAATTTTTTTATGTCTACTTTGGATGAATAAAAGAAACAATTTGAATGCATGCTTTGTTGCTGTGTTAATTTATTTAATATGTGACCAAAAAAATAAACCAAAAAAAAAAAAATACGAAACGAAACATTGGTAATTTGAATTGACCATAAATTAAAAATGAAAGTAGATCAAAATAAACAAGATGGATGCCAAGGGATCTAGAAGATTGAGTTTGAAGCGTATTAAGCTTTATTTAAGTGAATTTATTTATAATAAAAAGTTGAAACAGTAAGTAAATATTGTGAAATGATATGTCAGTTAACTTGTATTTCAAATAAACCTAAAAAATCGAAATTATATGTAACGTAAGATGTATAATACATCCAATAATTTACACAAACGTCGTATCGTCAGCCGTCCGACATGAATTTCAGCCGACTATGGTTATTATAAAAGTCGCTTATTATAAAGTTTTGGCCTGACAAATAAACCATGATAATAAACGAATTGTACTGTACTACCTGACTTATTTACTTCCAAAAATGATCGTTTTTTCCTAATCCGAATTTCCTCCATTCCTTTGTTTATGGTAAATGCATGTAGATATCCCATTTAATTATTTACAATCACTTAATCAACTAGAGAAAAAGTCATGTGATTTTCAAAGAATATATTTCAAGGGTATTTAATGATTTAAGATGAAAAAAAAAATTGAAAGAAAATTGATTTTTAAATTAATTTTTTTTTCAATCATAATTGATTTATATACGATTCAATTTTTCTAGTGAGAATTAAACTTTAAATTAAAAAAAACTAGAACTGTCCAAAAGGGACAAATACCCCCCACTGGGTTTTTCAGAGAAGGTACCAAATCACTAATGTTTTCTAGATGTGAGAGGTGTTAAAGTAGGGATATTCAAAAGAAAAGAAATGTAGTAAATAAAAAAAAAGGGGGGGGTCACTAGGGGCCTATTCAGTTTGTAGAAAGCAAGAATAACACAGCACATAAACATGATAAAAAGACAGTGGCTTTAGAGGAAAATAAAATAGAACATTTTTTTGTGATTAGATCTATTTTTATAAAAGAGAACTCAATTGTTTAGCTTTTTTAAAAGTTAAATTGACAATATATTCAAAATATATCATTCAAATTAAAAAAAAAAAATAAATGAATGAATTTGTATTTTTCATTTAAATATAAATTCAGATACATGCACAAGAAACACAACAAGACACACTGCACGCCGTCAATTCAGCAAAATTCCCCCCATGCATTGAAAAATTTCTGGGGAAAACACTGTAGTGCTTGAATTTTTTAATTGCACACCCCTGTATCCGGTCATATTTCACCTTGTATAAACGACCTTAATACACACAAGGTGTAAATTAGTATTCTGTGAAATCATTCAAATAATACCTAGGTTAATTACTATGAGAAAAAAAAATGCTGGTGAAAGTTCAATAATGCTAGTTAAAAAAAATTCCACTAGCTAAAATTTGCTAGTGGCCAAAAAAGTTAATTTCAATCCCTGAAGAAACAGAGTTAAAACAATATGTTCCCAATCTTCATTTGTTGAACATAATTAAGGAAAAGGTCTGGTCTTCAACACATATAAGTATTGATATATTTTACAACAAATTAAAGGATGGTTAATGTTGATCAGTGTCCTAAGTTTCTGACAAACAGTTCAAATGACATAAATTCAGAGCTATCTACACTTTCTTTTTCTTTTCAACTTACGCGGGTTGACACTGGCCCTGTTTTAATGATGGCATCACAGAGGGTCTGGCTTTTCAACATGGTCGACAACTGTGCTAAAAGTGTGCTAGAATGAACATGGTTCATATACACTTTGTGGTAGTTTTGACTCATTTTGCTGCTTGTGTCTTGTGTCTTCTAATTCACCAGGATAGTCAGATAAGTAGATGATATGCAGATAATTCAAAGTCTGAAATTGATGAAGTTTATATTTATTCCATTAATATCATGTACATGTATATCATATTAAGATATATATGAAAAACAAAATTTTCTTCAATTATGCAACTATGACACATACAGCTGTGTCAAGTTGTACATACATATTGATAAGTACATTGTTATTTATCACCTGAGGCATATACATTTATTTATGTTTTAATAAATATCAACATACTTTGCATTTAGTAAACAATGACAAGGTTTCTCAACCTAGCCAACCTACCAACCTAGACCTAAAATTTAGGGAGACTTAACTTCTCCCACAGAGAAGTTTAAAACCCTACGATGACTTCTTGGGTCACGTGGCACATTTATCATTACATAAATGTATTAAAATTTTAAAAAATTAAAAACATGTCAATGAGTTGTCGCGTCTTGGAAATTAGATCCACAAAATAAAGATGTAAAAGTAGGCAGAGTCACAACACCAGCTGGTGTCGCTGAATTCACACTTTTCAATATGGCCTCCCCTCTGACCCTCACCTGCATGTCACAATATAAAAACAGGAGTTACAGAGGAATCTTGAATAAGTTGAATTGCTGGCAAAAGTTATGATTTTATGATTTTCTTCCAAGTTAATCTGATTATTACACCCCCTAACACCCCCCCCCCCAAAAAAAAAGAGATAAAGGTAGCTTAAAAAATTGCAGATGCATTTAGAGCACCCTCCCAAAAAAAGATAAAGGTAGCTCCCTATTGCAGATGCATTTAGAGCAGTTCGATCCACTCCACCTTCCTGTGTTACATGTACAGCTATAAATAGGAAGTAGTGGAGATTTTTGCGTGCTTCTGGCTTAGGTTACCATTTGTTAAAAACTCAGAAAACATTTATAGTAATTTTCTAAGTTTAAATAAAAAAGACTGAAATAGTTGGGCTACAACTTATTCAAGTTATATTAAATATGTATGCATGCCCTGATCACGTGATACATTTTTTTAAAAATCAATGGCGTAAATGTACAAAGTGCAACAGATCAAAATTCATCAAAAAAATATTTAAAATTCTCATTCAAACTATCATTCGCTTTTTCTTGGTTATCAAACCCTAAACAATAAAAACCGAGAGCACGCACCTTGCACTTGAAACACAAAGGCGTGACGTCACAATGTAAAAGTGCGCTTTCTTGATTTCACTCAATATTGCATTTGGAACCGATGTATTAAGCAACAAACTATACGCCGTTCTAAAGGATAAAATGAAGAAATAATCTGCAGTGTATAAAATTCAGATTACCTACAGTATACGTTTTGTTAAAGCAAATTTTCTTTCACTGCATCCGTGCTAACTTCCATTATCATAAGGTGGCCAAAGTATTAGACTAAACCAAATGCGGATGTTAAACCCGGAATTCTCTGCACAGACATTGTTGCATTACAGTAAGAAGTGAGGGAGTAAATACAGGTAAAGTTCTGTAAGGTGTGATATATTATTGACATATTCATAAAAGATTATATGTTATAGATTTCACTCTTCATTATTTTTTTTCTGGGAAATAAGAGGGGAAAAAAATCTTTGTTACACGTTACTTTCAGTTTCACTTTAGACCCGAAATTGTTTCATACATTAGTTATTTTTCATCTTTGGTTATCTTCATTGCAAGAAATCAAATGGATTTTTGGACTATCATATTTAAAAAAAATATTAATAACAAAATTATTAAAACAGATGAATAAATGTTACCAACTAGCAAGAAAACAAAACAGTTTATAACATACAGTTCTGTGTCCAGGTGAAAGTTGTATCACAAATACAAATATCTATTGGCACAGACACAATTACAATAATTGGCAAAGGTCCATTGAACATCATTAGATAATGTTTACATAATTTATATAGTATTAAGTAATTGACTTCTATGTTCAAAACAATGTCTAATAAATTTTACAGTATACTTTTAAGATTTTATGTGCACTGTATTAATCACTGTTTGCATGTAATTGTAACCTGTGTCTTTCTTTGTCCAGATTAATATTTTTCTTTGTTATATTATAAATATTTCTAAGGTATGTGTTTCTTTAAGCTTAGAATAAGATTTATGGTGAAAAAGAAAATGAGTTTCATCCTCAATCACACCAGTATTGCAAGCATTACAACATCTTTCCTTTTTTGATGTGGAAATATGTCTATAAAATACCACTTTCTATTGCAAGTTTATGTGCACTTAATCTAATTCTACTAAGAGAGGATCTCTCAGATCTTTTTCTGAGTCAATCAACAAATAAACATATGGACTTCTTTTTCTTGTGTATATATATAATTTAATTTTTTTTTAAAATAGAATTCAAGTTTGTCAGAACCAAAGATTTTTTTTATGTTTGCTCTTGAGTGTACTGGTTGATGATTCTTTGTTTTATGTTGGGTAAAAGGTGTTGAATGGAACCTTTATATTTTGTAATGTTTGAACTAGAGTAGAAAATAATTTCTAAGTCCAGGAATTGCAGTTACTTGTGGATTGGTAAAGTTTAAAAGCCAAAGAATCAGAAGATTTTAGGTGATTCCAGTATTTAATACTCGACAATGAAATTTTAGACCAAAGTGGTAGTATATATCATATGCTTTGGAACTAGCTGCAGAACTGTAGCATTATGGTTTTATATTTTAGTCTTTGACCATAACGCTACAGATCCAGTAATGCAAATTAATACTGTATGTCAGTACTTAAAAAAGCTGGCTTCATATTTTAGTGGCTTTGGCGCAGACAAGGATGCACTAATTTATGAATAGCACTAACAAATCATTTATATATGTACAATACAGGGCACGAACATGTGTGGCGCTAATTCATGATTACGCCAACAACTCCATACCTAGTGATTGCGCTAAATTTTGAATACGCCAATTTATGTGCACATACAGTATTGTGCAATTTACAGCACAAGATTTTCTGCGCACTTTGGGGATGTATTTCGGATGTATTTCGCCACTTTCCAGCATTGGTCAATCAACTACCATTCATTCCCTAATTCTAGATATATTCTATAACAAACCTGTATATTTTATCCATCTCCTAACCCTTTCTAGTCATCTCTACAGACCAATAAACTCGCTTGTTGTGAATTTGTTGTCGGATGGCATGAAATTCACAACAAGCGAGTTTATTGGTCTGTAGAGACGACTATAAAGGGTTAGGAGGTGAATAAAATATACAGGTTTGTTATAGAATATGTGGCGAAATACATCCCCAAAGTACGAAGAAAATGCACCGTAAATTGCACAATATTTGCATTACGGGATCTGTAGCATTATGGTCAAAGACTAAAATATAAAACCATAATGCTACAGTTCTGCAGCTAGCTTTGGAACTTGAATCAGTGCATCATATTGTAACAATGAAGGTCTTCAAAATTCATATCTCTTGAATCACATGATATGCTTGTACTTATCTTATGATTACAACTTTCTGCAAATTCTGAGTGGAAAATTTAACTAAAAATCTTAATATTGGATTCATTTTAACTTGCATTAGTGGACCGAATGAAATAAAATTTCATTTAAAGATGTTCTCTTCTGAGTTCTCAGTATGAGAATCTCTACATAAAGATCTTCAAATTCTAGACAGAAATCATTTTTTATGCTAAAACTTAATACTTGAAATTCCAATCTATACAGGACACCTTAATTGACCCTTTTTGGTACAGGGCCCTGTACCCTTTCAATAGCTAGGGAATATGAAATTGAAAAGTGGCAAAATTTGATTTTTTTTCTTTTTATTTTTGGACATAAATTTGTGTATATTTGACAATCATTAAATTTATTTTAAAAGTTCATTGACTATAGGGAAAGGATTCATGAGTGACCCCCAGCCAGCCAGTAAGAAGCTCAGAACAGACGCTATGAAGATTGGAACACACAATGGCTCATTTCACTGTGATGAGGTCTTGGCTTGTTTCATGCTGAGACAACTGCCAAAGTATGCTGATGCTGAGATAGTCAGGTACACTGAGTTTTCTCATTTTTTTTTTTTAAGCAATCAACTGTATATTGAAATTTAAGGACATACACAGAGTCTTATAAAGGTCAACATATGAAAGGAAATTGCATTCGTAACTGTTGGTATCTTTCGGTATGGAACAGTGGTCAAACAACATGGCAGAGAAATATCAGACATAATATTAATATAAGTGCAGTTTTTGAAATTGATAAATATTCTTAAGAACTGTCAAGTGCCATTCAGCATACACTGTATAAATATCAATATTTTTTTAATGAAAGAATCATAAAACTTTAAACAGATGGAAACTTTAAAGTAAAAAGAGATACTTGAATGTTTTAATTTAGACTTTATTGTTCAGAACCCGTGACCCTGCTGTCCTTGACACATGTGATATTGTGGTGGATGTTGGGGGAGTGTATGATCCTGCTAAAAATAGATTTGACCATCATCAAAGGTGAACAATAGTTGCTAAGTTTTTGATAACGATTCAAGTAAATGTAACTAGTCATATAGGTATATAATATTATAAGCCCTCTATGAACAAATAGATTTAATATTTTTCAACATAGTCTTCTCGAAAAGTGAATTAACTTAATTGAATTATCTCCCTTCTCAGAGGCATCACTGCCAGTAATAAAGAAATTAGTTGTAGTTGCAGTTGGATAAGATTTAATCCATTCATGCTAACATTTTCCAATTATAAATTAACTGTGTTTATATTTTGTATTTTCTATCTTTAAAACATCCTCATATTTCAGGACATTTAACGAGTCGATGAGCACAGTGAATAAGCCCAAGAAATGGACAACCAAACTAAGCAGCGCTGGCCTGGTTTACTGTCATTTTGGTAAGGAGATTGTGGCCCAAATTCTCGAGCTTCCTGTGGATGATCCAGTGACCGACATTGTATACGACAAAGTGTATGAAAACTTTGTGGAGGAAATTGATGCTATTGACAATGGAATTAATCAGTATGATGGGGAACCCAGGTACTGATGTTTGTTTACAACAATTGGTCGGTGAAAAATTACACTTAAAATATGTAACTATTTACTTCTTTTCTTTTTGACACAGGTACCATATAAATACCAACTTAAGCAGTAGAGTCAGCCATTTTAATCCTATGTGGAATGAACCAAATGCTGATGAAATGGTAAGTAAAAAGCAGTGATTTTTTTTAAAATCATCATTTAAAAAAAAAAACAACAAAAAACAAAAATGAAAAAAAACTTAAATTGATTTTTTAGGCAGGGTTTTTGAAGGCCATGAAGATGGTGGGGTCTGAATTTCTTGATAAAATTTTGTACTACAAGAAATCATGGCTTCCTGCTAGGGAATTGGTAGAAGAGGCTGTCAAAGGCAGAATGGAGGTAACCTAGCTATGCTTCCACTAATTATGAAATCAATCTCTTATTTGATTGAATGCTTTAGGAAAGAAAGCCTTCAAGTATGATGAACAAATGCAACAGGACTAAGTGAAAAATTTACTATCTATTCATGTTTAACATTTATTTTTTCATTTTGTAATATACAGTTAAACTTGTTTAATCTAGATTCACTCGTTCCATGGATATTGACAGTTTAGACAACATTTCAAACAATTAAATTTACTGAAAGACACTAAAATTTTACGTCATACAAAGCAAGATTATGGATTAAACATCTGGATTAGACAAGTTTTACTCAATACTGTAATTATGTGTGAAAATATTATTTTTTCTTTTACATACTTTTAATTAATAGGTGGATCCTAGTGGAGAGATTGTGGTTTTTAAGACAGGGAGTTGTCCATGGAAGGATCATCTATTTAATTTGGAGGCAGAGCTGAACATTAATCCACCTATAAAATATGTTCTTTACCAAGACCAGAGCAACAAATGGAGGGTTCAGTGCGTACCAGAGGCCCTGGGGTCATTTACAAACAGGTAACACAAGAGCACTGCAGAGTCATCAGTGAGGTATCACCAGATTATCCTCAGATTATACTCAGAGCTGCATTCAAGATTTTAGCAGGTAGCCTAGCTGCTTAGGTAGATATCTAGGTCTGTTGAAAACACTCTATGAATGAATGCTTGTTATTGCTACTCTAGCATACGTACCATTCAAGGTCATGCAGAGTTCTGCTTCATAGTTGCTACGATCTTGAATGCAGCCTAAATTAGTATGACTAGAGTAAAATGTCTTCAACTATACATGTAGGTATAGAATATGATGTTTTCCTCTTGCACATTAAGTTTCACTAAAAATTGGAGTTTTTGGATCATATATGCATCCAAAAATTGGAGCCTTGTTTTTAGTCAAATATCAATACAGTCTCCCAGTGTCCCTGAACAAATACCATTAGTTTCAATGTGTTCTCAATCTCAGAATCTCAGTACAAGTGCATTACTATTATAAAGTTTTTATAATTCAATCCGCAATTTTTGTTGACTTTAAAGTTGTCTTTCTTTTATCTCCAGATTATTGATCTGTTTGCCCTATAAGTAGGAGAAGATCTTTAGCAGATTTTAATAAAGTTGTCTTTTTTCTCACTGTTTCAGACTATCTCTGCCAGAAGACTGGCGAGGCTTGAGGGACAGTGTACTTACAGACAAGTCTGGGATTGCGGACTGTATATTTGTACATGCTGGAGGCTTCATTGGAGGAAACCACACTTACGACGGAGCACTGGAGATGGCAAAGAGAAGTCTTAAGATGTCACAGAAAAATACATAACACCGCAAGGAGCCTACAGGGCCATTGAAAATGAATATTATAAGCTCAGGTTATGATATGTACATTTAATACATGAGGCAATATTTCTTTGTCATAGTTGAATCTTGTCCAGCAGAGTCATGAATTAAAATTAAAGTGTTTTCTATATTGTTTAAGTATATTGTATTTAGGGAAGTCTATTCAAACTCCAGATATTAACTCTATTAATTGACAGAGAGAACATAAATTCTTTCGCAGTAAAGAATATGCCCAGTTTGTTTTATTTCACATTGGTCTTTCCCTGTACATAGAGGTATATGATTTATTCTACATTTCCTGCCATCTATAGATATTCAAAAAAAAAGATATAGATCTTTTTTTTGTGTGGGGGGGGGGGGGGGCTGTTAGAACCACATAATGTATGCAATCATAATAAAACACCTTTAAAATGTCCTTTTTCATGATAAGTATTGTTTTTTTTAAGTGATTACATTGTATTATACAACTTGATGTTAGTCATGATTTGGGGATACATTTCACTTTAGAAAATACGTTCGAGGGTTAACGACCCTACAGTATATTACTCAATTTTTAATCAATTCAAACATTCACAGTATTTGATAAGACAAGAATAAATTAAATGAACACTCAATTTGGATGTATTTTCCAAATTTACGTAAATAGTAACGATTTTTGTTCATCTACTCTTTTATGTCTTAGAACACTATTCCGATTACTATATAGTACCATTATAAATTATGACCAACTCCAATCCAAAGTTTCCAGAATCCTTTAACGAGAAAATGAATGAAACGTCCAAGAAAGACATCAGTAACCCCCAAAAAGGTTCCGCAACTCATCACAATCCGATACGAATATAGAATATCCAGAAACATCAAACAAATCTCAACAAGAAACAACAGGGAAAAAACCTCCATCGAACCCAGCTTTGCAACCACATCAGATCCAGTCGGATCTTCCGAGAAACAAAAAATATTTGAAGAAACTGTAGCCGTTTTTATAACAGAAAACACCATATAACACTTAAAAAAGACAAAAATCATGCCGCATACCTGTATAAATGCCAACAACAGGACCTCATACCAAAAACTTTAAGAGTCAGAACCATTCCACAGGGTTTATTATTGTTCATTGAGGTTGGAATTGCAGATAATAGATTCTTTAATGTTCCTTTCATTAGCATCTTTGTTTTTAAGCAGTAATTTAGCTTAAGTATCTGAGTATTGTCCAATATTCATGAAGTAGGCGGATGAGGTTACGGCAGAAATTAAGGTGTGCTTTCTCACAGTTTAAGAGAAATACAGTATTACTGTCTGGGATCCATATGAGATTTCCCCGTCAATCACACCCATATTTCGTTTTTATGCAAGCTTAAGCAGATTGTATTTTTTCTCACGTTTAGGGATTGGCCGTGTACGGTACATAAGAAAAATACACCGTACATCACCAGTCTCTAAACGTGAGAAAAAGTATAATCTTCTTGCTTAGAAACGAAATATGGATGTGATTGACGGGAAAATCCAATATTTTTGAGAAATTTGTTGGCTCTTACTATTTTTTTTTAATTCGAAGTGGGGGGGGGGGGTCCATTGAGTAATTGAATTTCAGATGTTGCTCATGCAAAGAAAAATAAATAAGGTCATTGTGTTAACAAATTTATTGACATTTATTCAGCAGTTAGCAATCATGATAAGATTACTTTCTGTAATTAAAAGGATGTCCAAATCCATGATCATATTGTCCACCATAATCGTAATTGTAGTCCCGATTTTCATGATGACCAGTACTGTGTACATTCCAGGAGTGATGTCTATAAATGACATGGTGTATTTTGCTGTATTTTGCATAATGGGAGAGGCCTGGACCAATATTATCTTTCTGATGACCATTGTGCTGATTTGGATGTGACCCAAACCCCCGGTCATAGGTGTAAACACATTTCACAGGACATTTGACGCCTCCAAACTCTTCATATTTATAGGAGCTGTGAGCATGGGGTGGACACTTACAGTGTGGCTTAGGAGGACATTTGCATTTGATTTTGCAAGAAAAGGCACAGTGCAGACCATTGATGGGCTTGTACTGGAGGACTTTTTGGCAAACCCCGGGGTATCCTTTGTAAACAGGAACTTTTGGACATTTAGGTGGTTGTGGACAGTTGCATTTCACCTTGCATTTAATGGGACAGATACGACCATTTATGTTCCTGAAGTCAAAGTCATAGTAGCACAAATTTTTGTATTCAGGGATTTTGGGTAGTTTGGGACAATTTGGCAGAGTTGGACAAAAGCAACCTATGTTGCATTTTACTGGGCACTTGTTGCCATGGATGTACCTGTAGTGATAATCATAGGTACATATATTTTTGTAATTGTGGTAAGTTTTTATTGGTGGACATTTTGGTTTTGGGGGACAGTGACAAACCCTGTCACATTTGACAGCACATCTCCTACCGCCAATAGTTTCATACCTATAAACATAACTACATAGGTGTCCGTTATGCTTTCCAATTTTTGGACATTTCGGGAATGGTGGACAAGTGCATTGGACATCACATTTTATTGCACAGACTTTGTTATGTATCTTTTTATATGTATACTTATATCTACAAAAGTCTTTCAGACCTTTATACTTGTCAAGGGGAGGACATTTAGGGAATTTAGGACATCCGCATTCTGCTTTACATTTTACAGGACAGAGGACCCCTTGTATATTCTTGAACTGATATTTAGGATTACATGTTTCCTTGTTCTGCTCCAAGATTTTTGGACATTTTGGAGCAGGGGGACAGAAGCAATTCACATTACACCGCACCGGACAAAGGTTACCGTATACCTTCTCATAGACATAAATGGGGTGGCACTGCTTGGCAATTATGGCATTTTTAGGGATTGGTGGACATTTTGGAACAGGTGGACAGCGACATGTCACTTTACAACTCACTGCACAAATCAGCCCATTCATCTTTTTATACTTATAGATAGGTTGACACAATCCTTGACCATGTGTAGGGCACTCTGGCAGTGGAGGACAGTTGCATTTTTTAATACACTTAATGGGACACTTTTTCTTTCCTATCATTTTATATGTAAACTGGTTCACACACAAATTTCCATACTTTGGATTTTGCTTGATGGTCGGGCATATTGGAGGTTTTGGACACAGACATACTAGTTTAAACCTAACAGCGCAAAGTAAATTATAGATGTTTTCATAAATGTACTTAATGTGACAATTTTTGGGAATTATTTTTGGAAGTTTTGGTAGGGGAGGACAGTGGCAATCAATAGAACAACTGATGGCACACTGTTTCTTGTGAAATATTTTGTACTTAACAACGTGTTTGCAAAGGTTCTTGTAAATCTTATGCACGGGAAGTGGCGGACACTTAGGCAGTTCAGGGCACCGACACTCTAAAATACATTTAATTGGACATCTCAAACCTTGATCAGGTTTGGAAAAGATGTATCTTGTTCTACAGAAACGACTTGATTGTTTATCTATTTTTGGACATTTTGGCAAAGGATTACAATGACATTTATTTTTACATTTGATGGCACATGTTAGACCATTAATCTCCTGGAAAATATAATCAGAAGAACAGGTTCCATACTTGGGTTTCTTCACTGGCGGACATTTAGGAAGTGGAGGACACTGACATCTAGATGTACATTTTACTGGACACAGGATTCCATTTACTTTGACATTGATAAATTTTCTTTGACAGAGATTTTTATATTTGCCATATTTAGTCAGGGGTGGACATTTTGGGATGGGCGGACATCTACACTTGTTTTTACATTTAATAGGACACTTGTTTCCATGGATGATTTTGAATTTGTAGTAAGGTTTACATAGTCTGGCATATCTACCCCTAACAAGTTTACACTTGGGCGCTGGCGGACATCTACAGATCAATCGACATTTAACAGCACATCTTTTGCCCTGGATGTTCTTATATGTAAACAATGGTTTACAAAGTTTTGTCTCTTCGGGTTTCTGAGGTGGGCATTTGGGAAGTGGTGGGCACCTGCATCTCAGCCGGCATTTTATGGGGCATTTCAAGCCATTGATATGTGTGTAACTATATTCAGGAGAGCATAAGCTTTCTTGACCTTTGGGAGGTTTAGAACATTTAGGAGCGGAAGGACAACCACACTGAATTTTGCATTTGACTGGGCAACGTTTGCCGAATCTTATCTGGTATTTATACACATGACGACATGATCGACCTTTTCCATCTTTTGGAATAGGAGGGCATTTGGGCGGGGGAGGACATAAACATTTAGATGTGCATTTTACCGGACATCTGTTACCATTGATTTCCTTATAGCTATAAATCTTTTGGCATTGCAGCCCCTTGTATTTAACTATGCAAGAAGGTTTTGGTGGACAAACACAGACTTGTTTACATTTGATAGCACAATTTTTGTCATTGATCTTCTTAAAGAGGTACTTTTCGTAACACAACTGACCGAATCCTTTTGTTTTTGGCAATGGTGGACACTTTGGTAGTGGAGGACATTGGCAGTCCAAGACGCAGCTGACTGGGCAACGGTGTCCTCTAATTCTGGTGAAAATATATCTTGGATGGCACAGCTTACCGTTTGCACCATTTGGGATCCTACATTTCGGCATTGGGGGACAAGAGCACTTATAACTGCAACGGACAGGGCACAGTTTTTGTCCAACTCTTTTGTACTTATAGGATACGTTGCAGTATCTGTGCTTTTTGCAGACAGGGCGTTTCGGACATTTACAGTCGTATAAGCACCCCACTGGACAGTTACCAGATTCTGTTCTGGCTAGTTTGAATTTTAGCTGACAGTGGGGTGGCGGTCTGGCACACTGTGGTGGAGGAGGACAGCCATTTCCGGACTCTGAAGACAATAAAAAACATTAGGATTTAATTTGTGAACATTTGTTATGGTCTTCTTAGTTCTTTCTAAAAACATTATCAGATGTATGTACAGTACCGGTCACTCACAATGTTCATTTACAAGTGTCACCACTTGTGATGTTTCTGATGATTATAATATAAAACAAAAAACATTACGAAATTTAACGAAAATTTGAAGAGATAACCTAAATGTTTTCGAGTTGATCCTCTGTAAGTGTTACTACGACAGCACACAGACAATGGTGTTCCCTCTACCGCCACACAGTGGTACCCACGAGGACAGGAGGAAGGGTAGGAACATGTCACCAGCGTATCTGTCTTTGTAAGAAGCGGGGTCTTTATTTGACAGGGGTTGCCAGCTGTCAGAAAAGAGAACGGTCTTTAACGATAGAAACAGGCATTTCTACGCATAGTGCAGTTATAAATGAGGTACATTCAAAGCAATAAATGATAGTATTGTCTGTGGAAATATATTGGATAAATTAAATTTAAATTATTATTTTCTAGTCTGTAACAATTTTTTTAAAGCCAACGGAAATGAACGATCAGCAAACTCAAAAGAATTACAGTGCTAACTCCAAATGTATAATAGAATTTTCTATTTAGACACTTACCTTGAGCTGTAACACAACACAAAGCTAGAATTATTATAATAACACTATAAAAACTATACCTTTCTAAAGCTATAACATAAGTATCTTCTTACACTATAATATGACTTGAAGCCTAAACTATAACACAATACAAAACTAGAACTATAATTAACACTTAAAAAATAGCTATAACACTGCATGTATCTAGTGCTTTTTTACACTTTAATGTGTACTTGGAGTCATCACACTTTATCTACCTAGAGCTTCTAGACATATCTTGAACTATGACACTATCCATATCTAAGAACTATTGCACTTTACATATCTATGACTTTAGCACTTTACGTATCTAGAACATTGACACCATCCATATCTAAGAACTATACACTTTACAAAGCTAGAACTATGACAGAATACAAATCTATAATACTATTCATATCTACAACTAAAACCTTTTACATATCTAGAATTATGTAATGACACTATACATATCTAGAACTATAACACTTTACATATCTAGAATTATGACACTTTACATAGTTAAACTATAACACTTTACATATCTAGAATTATGACACTATACATAGTTAAACTATAACACTTTACATATCTAGAATTATGACACTATACATAGCTAAACTATAACACTTTACATATCTAAAATTATGACACTATACATATCTAGAACTATAACACTTTACATATCTAAAATTATGACACTATACATATCTAAACTATAACACTTTACATATCTAAAATTATGACACTATACATATCTAGAACTATAACACTTTACATATCTAGAATTATGACACTATACATAGTTAAACTATAACACTTTACATATCTAGAATTATGACACTATATATATCTAGAACTATAACACTTTATACATATCTAGAGCTAACATTTTACATACATTAAAGCTATAACAATACACTGTACTTATCTAGAACTATAACACTTAAGGTAACTAGAGTAAACCACTATATGTGTTTAGAGCTATAAAACTCTCTACACGCATATGTTTCCAAAGCTTTAATAGTCGCCCGCGTGGTGCAGTGGTTAGAGCGTCTGCTCTAGAGTCGCGGAGTCAGGAGCTGATCCTTACGTCGCGGGTTCGAATTCACTGCGGGACATGGAGACCGGTCCTTCGGATGAGACCGTATAAACAGAGGTCTTGTGTTGCAGTAGGTGCTGGCATGACAAAGATCTATCACTGCTCAATAGCCCTCAGTGCCGAGCATAGGTTAAAATTGCCCTCCACCGGCAAGTGGTGGCGTCTCCATATGAGTGAAAAATTCTCGAGAGGGACGATGAACAACATACAAACAAAGCTTTAATACCTTATGTGCCAAGTGCTGTCAAAATTTACGTACCTAGAGCACAGGTGTTTTGGTAACACACAGACTTGACTGGACACGATCGAGAACTTCTACACCTGATCTTCAGTCCGTGTCTATTGGTCAGGTATCCAAAGGGACCAGCAAAGGGGTCAAAGGCATCTTCATGTATAAAGTAATCATGTCATTTATCATGTAATAATTCTTTCTCAGAGTGTTTTATTTGGATTCAATATAAATAAAATTGAGGAGATGAATTACCCGATTCCCATGAAAGACCAAGCGAGCAGTATATTCCAATTATTACTTGAAAGCTAAGTACTCTCATTTTCAACAAGTCGTCCAGCAGGGCGACGTTTATGTCCACTTCTTATTTCCTGAATTAGATTTTAAATTCCATGCAAGAACACAGATACAAATGAAATTGAGAACCTGGAATTAATATGTCCGAAAATTTTGATTTGTTTAAAGATTTTTACTCAAAGAAATTAATTCTACGAACCTGCTTTAAAGGTTTCTTATTCGATAAGTTTTCTATATAGACTTGACGGTCAATAGTTTCAGGTACCAGAGGAAGGCTAGGTAATATGCAGTACATGTTTGTTGCTAATTCAGGCGTAAACTACAAACTTTGACTTCTTAGGATTAACAATATTCATGCATAAATGAAATGATTATGTGGTATGGTATGGTATGGTATTGATTCTACAAGCTTTGAAATAAATACAGCACGCATAAGCAAAATGAGCAGAATTATTAATATGATGAAATATCCTTGTCAATCTATTTAATTGTCTATATCTAGTTCATTTTCTTTATTTTAAGATCAGTTATTCACTTAACATATACATAATGGTACGCAAGGATCATCTAAGAATGCCTATGAATTTGGACACCCACCCACACATACACCCCCTAGAACAAAATCTTTTTTGACTTTTAATTTTCATCTAGAATTTGGTCACTGATTATTGCACAATGGCTTAGAAGACCGTGTGCGTGTATCGTATTTTAATAGAATAATGTATGCCTTTCTAAATGTAGAGGGATATTTTTTCTTACGTGTGCATTACATTCACGAGAGAGTATCATTTGCTAGTATCTTTTATTCGTATCTTTTTATTTACTTATTTTTTGTCGTCTCTTAAATTATTACTAGTATATAGCTATATTATTAACCTCCAACTTCTATTCGCGTGCGAGGAATATCAGCGAGATTAACCACCTTTCTTTACTTGCGAATATTTCTGGCAGAGAACGATCTAATGTATTGTGTATTTATTTAGAATATTTCCCCAGTCGTGGATATTAATGTCGTGGATGGATTTTAAACTGAAAACTCGCGAAAAAAGGTGTCGCAAATAATAGATGGTTAACGTTCATTTCATGTGCGCAACCTTTCAGTTAAAGATTCATTATATTTTAAGTTTTCAGTTCTAGCGCGCACGAATGCAATTATTGATATCATTAATTTATTAAGTGCACTAATTGAACTTTTGATCTCTTTAAGTGAACATATCATATGAACAATTTTAATTTCTGCGCACTGTAATTCAGTTGAACACAGCAATAATGTAATTAATCAAAGCGCATAATAACTGAATTATTGCTCTCTTCAATTGAATAATTGCGCGCATCAATAGTTTTAATGCGCGTAATCATTTGACATGTCTTGTCTTTTATGATAAAGTTTTATGTCTGTCAAGCAAAGGGTTCTCAAGATATTGAGCGGACAATATTTTCTTATGTTCAGAGTAGTTTGACCCTCCAACTTTGGCCATGTGACCTCAAAATCAATAGGTGATCATTTTCTTTTATTAGTCCCCTAGCGGTGAAACCGGAGGGGACTATAGGTTTCTTCTGAGTCTGTCTGTCTGTCCCTCTGTCTGTCTGTCAGTCTGTCCCACTTGGTTTTCCGCACTTTTTTTTCTAAACGCTTGCAGATATTGAGCTGATTTTTGGTATGTGAGTGTATCTTGATGAGTTACAGATCAAGTTTCGTTCTGCTTCAATGATTTTTGGCGGAATTACGACTTTTTCAATTTTTCAGGGTTTTCCGAATTTTTTTTCTAAACGCTTGCAGATATTGAGCTGATTTTTGGTATGTGACTTTACCTTGATGAGTTATAGATCAACTTTGCATTTCATTCCGCTTCATTGATTTTTGACGGAATTATGGCATTTTCAATTTTAGCGGGAACCAGATTACACTTGCCGGTAGGGGAATAGTATTGCTAATGCAATGCTCTCAGAATGCTTGTTCTATTTAAGCTTGTAACAATATAGTCTGTTTGTTAGGCTCATTATCATTTCTGTCGCCCGCGTGGCGCAGTGGGTAGAGCGTTTGCTCTAGAGGCGTGATGTAAGGAGCTGATCCTTATGTCGCGGGTTCGAATCCCACTGTGGGACGTGGAGACCGGTCCTTCGGATGAGACCATATAACCTGAGGCCCCGTGTCGCAGTAGGTGCTGGCACAAAAAAGATCTATCACTGCTCAATGGCCCTGAGTGCCGAGTAAAGGTCAAAATTTGCAGCTCTCTACCGGCAAGTGGTGGCGTCTCCATGTGAGTGAAAAATTCTCGAGAGGGACGTTAAACAACACACAAACGAAACAAACATTATTAAGTCTTCCGTTCACAACGGAAGACTTATAGTGATTGTATTGTTTCTTTTTATTATTATTATTAGGTCTTCCGTTCACAACGGAAGACCTATAGTGATTGTATTGTTTCTTTTTATTAAGTCTTCCGTTCACAACGGAAGACTTATAGTGTTTGTATTGTTTCTTTTTATTAAGGTCTTTCGTCTTCACGGAAGACCTTATAGTGATTCTACTGTTTCTTATTATTATTATTATTTTTTTCCCCAAAATTTTGTGCAGCCGATTTCTCAAAAACTATTCAGTGGTTTTAAATGAAACTTTCAGGAATTATGCGTCGTCAAATGGACTTTGTTCATCAGAAGGAAAATTTGGAAAACTCGCTTCCGGTGCCAAGTTATTGACAGTTTTCTGATTTTAAAATGAGATTTTGTCCCCCCTTTTCTTCAAAAATGGTTTAAGATATGAACTGGAGACTTGTTAGAGATGATAGGTTATGTCTTCTAGATGAGGGGAATTACCTTTTTGTGCGTCGTCAGTACTTCCGGTCGTTACCGGATGCGAATTTAAAAAAGTCGAATTTTTAAACTTTTTTGTTTTTCTATATTTTTCTTATGTTTTAATAAGGTTAATAGAGGCTTTTCTGAAAATGCTTAATATATAATTTATTTTAGAATTGATCAATCCAAACTCTAGATATTCGCATTTCTAAATTTGAAGCGGGTCCAAAATGGCGGCTGTCTCCGTAAACTCCGATAAGTAGGTCAGAATTTACAGAGTCAGCCGAGCGTTTGTTTGAATGACAGTACCATAAGGATCAAAGAAATGTGAAGGAATTGTTGGATTGTCACATCACAATTACGTTGCAATTCTGTTTCGAACTAGAGTTTTAATCCGGGGTTTCCTCAAACGTCTACTATAATTGTTCTTGTCTGTATCTCAAAGTAGAAAAACGACATGATTACAAGTGGAAATACGATAACTACAACCTTTTGTTTTACACCACGGAAAACTGATCCTAAACCATGGTTATAAGTAAAAGCTTTTCAAGAAACTTTCCTGACTAAAGGAATTAATATATAGTAATTATTACGTGGCCATTGTTTTTCCCCATGCAGGCTTGTGTCATATTAAATGAACAGAAAAGACAAAATAAGAAAACCATTTTTTTTAAAGATTGTTTAATGAAGTTGATATAAATATTTTTTTTCTAAAAGATGTTGTTATTGAACATAAATGGTATCAGATTCCTTGACCGTCGCAGGACGAGACATGTTTTTGGGCGAAACATTCCAGTCTTTTCATGAATGTGTAACTAATCGGGATAGTCCACTTTGGGGGTAAACAGGAAAATAAAACTTGTAGAAAATCTTACCTAAATCACTGCTTTAGTGTTACTTAACCATACGATATATAATAAGTACAATATGATAAATATACTTTCTCAAGCTCGATATTTAGGTTATAAGAACATTTTGAAATTTCATTGAAGCTATCACCATTCAATAGAAAATACATTCCAAAGGAAATGCGCGAATATTTACCCGTAACGTTTCGCGCGAAATGATGTATCGTGACCAACCTTTCGTAGTAGACAAATGGTCTGATGCAGAAGTATATAGAAGTGCAGAAAAAGATTACATGGACATGCCTGTATATGGAATTACATGAAATAAAAAGTTGAATACATAAAGAATAAAAGAAAGTAAACAGTATCATCAGAGAATGGCTAAAGATATGAATATGAAACTTGCTGAGGTGATAGAGCATCAAATGTAGATATGGTGATCGACCATTATTTTTCGTCGTTCTTACTTCCGGTCGCAAACGGAAGTGAATTCAAATGTTAAATTTGCAACTTTTTGTTTTTCAATATTTTTCTCTGGGATTTACAGGGTTAATAGAGAGTCTTCTAGGAGTTTTATGTATGTTTTCATCTTTTTGATTGAAAAAGTTTGCAGAGATTTTTATGAAATTCACTTCCGGTCGAAGGTTTACCTGTCCTCAAAATTAGAATTTGTTCTCACAATATTGCTCGGCAATAGTAAACGACTGAAGTCTAAAACTTTCAGGACTGATAGTCAGTCATCAGTTTATTTGAATCGTGAGAAATTCTTGTATCGCCGTTACTTCCGGTGGTGACAGGAAGTGATGCAAAAAAGTGAATGGTTAATGGTTAGCTTTCTTGGATTTTCACGCTGAATTTCTTTTATCACTTTTTCAGCGTGATTTTTTGTTTTTATTTTCAGAATCGGACGGAAGACCTCTCATTGCTCGCAATGAGTTTCTAGTTATTATTATTATTATTCCTCCCAAATTTTGTGAGCGCGATTACTCAGAGATGGCTGGATAGATTTTCACAATTTTTTACAAGATAATAGGTTGATATGTGAAGTTTATATAAAATTCCGTTTTTTTAAAAATTCACTTCCGGTCCGACGTTATGGCCGAATTTTAAATTTTAAAATGGACTTTTGTCCGGCGTTTTTCTCGGAAACGGTTTGAGGTAAAGGTGTGAAATTTACAGGAGTATTAGGTCCTGACATTCTCTTTGTTTCGAAGT